TGTGAAGGATACTATACTATCTTATAAGACTGGATATTCCAAATGGTTGAATATTCCCGATATACTTCTAGTTAGTTTATTACAACAACACTGATAGGGAATTATTGCAAACATTAATAAATCTACGGCTTTCAAGTAAATTGTTATTATATTATATGTTTCTAATTGGTTTACCATTGGAACTAGGCTACAGCAATTTAAACAATTTTTTGTCCTGTGCCGCTAAAGTAAGGCCAGCCCATAATATACGTATTATATTGTCAATCCTTACTGATGACATCATTGGTTATATATGTCAGCTGCTTCAAATAGAACTGGTATTCGTTAATTGGCCGCGTAATATGAGCTAAAATAATCAGAAAAACGGACATCAAAGTTCTTAAAATATGCATAACGTCGTCGGCATTGACACAGTAATCGGCACCCACATAACCATCGCCTAAAGCTATATCAGTTGAATAAAATGAAACAATTTAATGACTCATAGGCAATGACTCTTAGTTTACTTAATGGGATCTTGTTCTCAGGACCAAGATCAATCAAGCTTATTTGCACTTATCAAAACCGCGGTGAGAATCATTAAAATTCCATTGATGATGGCCCAATTAAACTTCGCCAATATCAGCCGCTGGAAAGCCGTCGTCCATATGTTTTTATGAATTATATTCGCTCAGGTGATGTATGCAAATGCGAAATAAATGATGACCATAGATTATCCAACGACAAAACCGTACCGAGCTTTGCAAGTATCAAACTTAAGAGACTATTATACAGATGAACGCACAAACCTTGCGCAAGGTAATGAAAAGGGGGATATAATTGCTCTCCGTACAGCATATAGCAAGTATCAATATGTGATGGAAGAATGTCATAATTATTTTTTATAAGGGGAAAATGTATAAGTGGATTCGACACCATAAAGTGTTTTGCATCTTAAACAAAGATGGAAAAGAAGAAAGAAGAAAAAAAAAGATAGAAGAAAAAAAGATAAAAAGAAAAGAAAAGAAATGATTTCGAACAATCTTACAAGAACTATCTGGCCCATTGATGCGACCCTGCGCGTTTAGACAAGTAAAATAGTCAGCCCCAGAAATCAGACTCAAGTAGACAGGAACTGGGCTGCCTCGCAATGTGATATTGTTCTTTATTTCTGGGGCAATTCGTGATATTTTTTTTTTTTTGAAAAAACTTCGAACTTGGTAACTTGTTGTCGTTACGAAGGCGCTGCATGGATTTTCTGATGACGACGAAGGTTGCTAACAACTGAGAAGTGACGACCACATCCATCAAACGGACATTTGAACGCTACATTTCGGATCATCCCGTATACATATGAAATTGAATAACCGTTCGAAAAAGTAAGCAGAAACCCAAAGATTATGTCAGTGGTTGTGTGATTTTACAAAGAAACTGGTTTGATACGATCGAAGAACTGTGAGCAAGTGAATAACTTACGCTTCTCTCCAGTGTGACTATACATGTGTGTCTGTAAAGAACTTGGACGAGTAAAACGCTTCTGACAAGTATTGCATTTGTAACGTTTAGGGGTTGAAGAGACCGTCTTGGAACTGAAAGTAGTCATCATTGTTGCAGGAGCAGGCACCGGCGGTGGTCGTGTGGGTCCCTGGTTTTGAGGTTTATTTGCAACACCATTCGACGGCAGCCCACCAATGTTGCTACTGGGAAACCTGCCTGCTAGCGTCATTGGATAGTCTTGAGGCGTTGGTATTGTACCTGTTATCGCGTTAGCGTGCAAGCTACGGTCGTAATTGACTTGAGGGGAACCGTAATAACCCATGGTGTTAGGTGGCGGATGGATTTTCATAGCTGGGTCGTGAGTAAATGCGGGGTCGATAGCTGGAGTACCCGTTCGCGGCATTGGAGCCTCTTCGAATTTCTGTTTAGCAGCATTAAAAATAAAACGAGAACATTAGAAGACTTAAAAGTGACAAGAGGATACAGGAAATATTGGCTTTCGAACACCAACAGCTTTCTTGTGAAAGCTGGTTTCTTTTTTAGGGAGGGGGGTTTTTTTTTCTTGAAAGCACAAGCAGTTTCATAAGAAGACAAGAGGAATATTGGTATTTACAGTTCGGCGATCCACAGACATTGGTGAAGTTAGGAAGGAGTTAGTAGCAGGATATGGGGCTGGTGCAAAACGACCAGAATTCATATCATTTAAATGGGTAGGGATATGTTGCTGGTACGAGCTTGTCTGATATAATGGTAAGGTTTGTGAACGAGCTCTGTGTGCAACGTGGTTGCTGTCGTGTTGCTCAACCTCGATCGGAGTGGATAGTCTTCTTTTGACAAAAGAGGAGTGAACTAGACCAGGGGTATGTTGATAACCATCCGGAAGAGGGACAGTTTTGTCTCGATGAACGGAATTTGCGTGGTTTTCAGCCACAATACCGTTTGAGGAAGAGTTGTTTGTATTATTTGAGTTAGCCGTTTGCTCTCCATTTTCGGTATCGAACGAGTTGCTATCGACGCGTGGTGTCTGAAAGGAGGCATACGAATATGACTCTGGCATGCTAGAAGACTGTAAATGTTGGTTTGTTTGTTGAAATACCTCTTGTTGTTGATAAGCCTGCTGTACTAAGAATTG